GAACTGGCACTACTTTCAAAGGCGACCATGTACTACTCGAGCGCGGGGGCTGCCTTAAAGATGCATCGTTCTTGGGTCGCACCATCGGAGTTCACGCTCAGGGTAACGAAGGTGCATGAAATGCTCAAGGTAGAATATTCCAAGGTGTTCCCCTGTAAGCAGTGCCAGTTCCTCATTCACTGCCTCCATCGTAGTAACAAGGTGAAGCTATACGTCATTGCTCATAAGCTCATAGAGGTCCGCGGTATTTTCGTTAGCCTGAAGCAGACGCGTAATTTCCAGAGTTGAGCTTGGGACGGGTCTCATTGCTGGCAATAACACAGCGGATAGCATTGAACGATCAGCTTTATCGTCAGGATAGATGTATTACGGATGATACATGACGACGTTGGAGAAACCAAACAGTTTTGCAAAAAAAAAAACAGTAAAGTGATCCAGACTGCTAATCAAGACATAGCTGACATTGAAAAAAACCAGCACAATATGTTTTCCTGCTCCTGAACGGGTATTGTGGTAGGAGGTATTGTGTGGGTCAGCACAACGTGGTATAAAAAAGGGGTAATCTTATAACATTTCTGTTCACGCTAGGAGTTTCTACCCTCTACTTGGTACTAAATCTGGTCCATTACATAATTTCGACATCGTGCGAGCTCTCTTCCATGAACATTGCTTTCCAAGACATAATCACCGATTTCGATGAAGTTCCGCAACAAATCGACCTTGAAAGAGGAAACCGTCAATGTTGGAGATCTTGTCGATCATCTTTCGACACACTTCTCGTGTTACTCTTCATTTCCTATTTTTTCATCATGTGGCATCTACCGTGTCATAGGGACACCAACCAACACAATATGACCCTATGCCGTAAGGCAAACTGTGCAGTTTGGCGATAGAAAGTGTATCGAACGGGCTGTGTAGTTTACAGGATAGGGTGCTGGATTGCTCTGTGAAGTGAACAGTATCATTGGGTAATTCCTGTTCATATAATATTTGCCCTAACCCACTCTTCGACAGCATAGATTAGAATTCCAAACCTTTTTGCAGTTTAATGTATGTTTTTTCCACCTCCAACAAATTGTGCTTCCAAAAACCCATTACCACATTTCACTTTTCATCTGTGAGACTGAGTCTGGTCATGATTTAAGCATAGCTGCACTATGCTCTTTTTGTTTCTTGATAGGCAAAGAGATGGCCACTTACCTCGGACAGAGGTTCTTTCCTCGTTCATCAATTTTGTTGTCCTGAATTTCCTACAATATTTTTTTATTTTTCATTGAATCCTGACTGAACACTAGCGAGAAGCATTTTCTATAACCCTTGTTATTCTAGGTGGTGGGCAATTGGCACATACAATCCTCGGAGTGGATTTCGATGAAAATACTGGTGAATGCGGCTTTCTAGTGCTTGATCCGCACTACACAGGATCAGAGGATCTCAAAGTAGTGTTGAGTAAAGGCTGGTGTGGATGGAAACCACCATCTTTCTGGAATCCTGAGTACTTCTACAATATAGTACTACCACAACCTCCCAAGAATGTCCTATGATATGCTTGAGTGGAACTAGCATGATTCGTTTCCGGTATTTAGAACTTGCTCTCTATCTTTTATTCTCTTCTTTCCTTTTCTAATTTATTATTCTTTCACTTCACTTCATACTATTGACTGCTAGCTTTTCCTTTAGGGTGCTGTAATTTCCAAAGTCTCTGACCTTTCAATAACACCTTGTATTTACAGCTTTTTTTGGAGCTTTTTCTGTATTTTGGTGATGTGACGTGTCCAATTGTTTTATTCCGTTCTTTGTGATGATTCGTAGTTACGATAAAGTTTGTTCAGATTTTTTTCATTCAACACGTTGACGACAATCGCGTAGCGCCGCGTGAGACAATGGCATTTTCGCATGCGTCCGCTAAGAGCCACCGATGGCTCATATTGTCCCTCGTGGACCACTTTTTTGCCGCTATGTCAAATTTCGCAAAATGATTAGTCAATCGTGCAGGGACTGCTATTTCAACCATCCTTGACCCTATTGGATGCCATCTCATGCCCCGCCCTCTGCGATCACGCCCACTTTTCAGCGCGATCGTGATTTCCAAAATCTGTGCTTCTGCTTCTGTCCTGTTTAACTTCTGTTTCTAAGATTTTTTTTTGAAATATTCTGCTTTTTAAACATTGTAATGATTCATAGACCCAGGTGTTCAGTGTATCCAGTTCGGTACCAAAAAGATTGCTGACGCCAGGTGGCGCCAACACTGAAAGGCAACGATATGTTCGTGACACGGATGTCAATTAACCTAGGTATAGAGGTTTCTATAGAATTCGGTGCCAAAGGGACTGCAGAAGTACGCTGGCACCAAAGACAAGTAAGATGTGCCATATGGCGCCAACGACAAACAAGATCTAATGTTTATGATCTAACCCGCCCTATGTAATTGTAAGCCCGGCGCAGTCCCTGCAGCAAGGTTTCGTCCAAAAAGAACTATTTTGGAGGTTTCTGCCGCAGCAGTAGCTAGTTGAAAATTTCAATTTTTAATTCAAAATATCTCATGGAGGCAGCAACATTTTTCTTGCTCATCCCTGTTGGACATTCACCTTTCACAGGTTATTCGAAAGCAAAAAGATCGATTGAGACTGCCGGCAATAACCCGAAAAGTGGTGGAGAATGTTTTGCCACCGGTGGCTCATATTGTCCCTCGTGGCCACTCACTTATGAATCACCGGACGAATCAATGGCTCATAATGCCTTCAACGTGTTAAAACCCTTCTCTACCCCCCATTGTAGATACAAAGTGGAATGGTCTACAAGTCTGAGCTGAACGAATGATTATAATAGCAAAAATGAGTGCATCTAGACAACTGCTGATTTTTTTGCCGTATATTCCACTAATTGGTCCTCTAACAAGAGACATGTGCAGTGCACGGACACCACTTATCACGAACCACAATGGCAGTGCACGACCGACCAGTTTTCTGAGTTGCTCCATTCTGTTACAAAGTTGGGCGGGTCATCGGTACTTGATTAGTTGTTGAATTGATGGGTCCTGCGCGACTG